GCATGTTCAGATCTAAATTTTAGATTCACTAAGAAATAATTAAACTCAACCTATCTACTTTCAGGACTATTTTTGGAAAGATAACTTGTAGAAACACAACACCTCCCATTCGTCAAAACAAAATCCATGAGCATAACCATTGAACGATATCTTTTAGGACATGTTGAAAATTATCCTAGATGTTTCCACCTTCATTTGAATTGTCCTAACTCACGCAGATAAAAAAAAAACAAATACGCCATAGCTGAAAAATCATGTATAATCACAAATAACCACAACACACACATTCTCTCCATCTCCCTCTCTCTCTCTCTCTCTCTCAACTTGACAGAAAACAAACCACAGAGCCCATTCAATTGTTTAAAAGTTACTTAATTGATCCTTATAATGTTACAATTTAACTCTTTATCTTATGTAAAAAGTTATACATTTATCTTTTTACATTTTGAATTTCTCACTTATACATTTTTTAAGTTTTCACTTGTAAGCTTATTTTTTGTAAATATATTATCAAAACTTTATATTTAACAAGTTATATTGTTAAAAAGATATCATTAATACCTTGAAATCAATAATAGTATTGCATCTTCTATTCTAATAAATAAAGGTTTTTTTGCCACATGTCTGTAACATCCCATTTTAAGTAGGAACCCCGGGAAGTAATTATTATGATTATTGATACTATTTTAGTCCAAGATCAATTAATAATTATTGGAATGTTAGTTTTGAGGGTTAAAGAATGATCTTGGACTTAATTTGAAAAGATCTTGAATGATTGGGGTTAAAAGAGTAAATTTTGGACCTATGTTGAAAGGATTTTTTGAGTGGGGGGCTGTTGTGTAAATTAAGGATTAGATTTGAAAAAGATTCTTGAAGCTAGGGTGTAAATGGTAAAATTTGGGCCTGCCTTGAAAGAAATAGGATGGGGAGGGGCTAATATTGTTGTTATGGGGTGTATTTTTGGAGAACCGGGTATATAGTCTTTAGTCTTCTGTCAAACCCTAACCCTACACACTGAAGATGTACCTGTCACACTCTATCCTCCTTCTCCAGCCACCGCCATGTTCCAGCCCCTACCTCCTCTATCGAGGTCGATACCACCACCGTTGTTGCCAATGCAAGTGAGGACCGAGAGCCAATGTTTGATGGGTGGAGTTGGTCGGTTGAAGCAAGGTTGCGGGTGTGATTGTTGTAGTTCGCTTGTTGGGGTTGTAACCCTCTTTTCTTCTCCCCGTTCTTCTATTGCAGCGAAGTCACCAGACCATCGCCCCTCTGCTGTGGAAGTCGGGAATCTCCAAACCGACGCTGCCATTCCCCTTCTGTTTTGCTGTGTTTTCGTCGGTGCCACGTCCCAGCTCGATCGCCACCGCATGTGTGGTCTTTCTTCTACTTCAGTCGACATGTGTCACCTCAAGGGTGGTTGTTGTGTGCATGCTCAGCCCGTATGTCGCAATGGCATGTGTTTTGGGTTGCTGAATGTACGGGGATGTCTTCATCTAACCAGAAACATCACGGGAACCACCATGGTGGCCCGCCATAGTGGTTATTATCTCGTTGTCGTTGTACACCACCGTAAGGTGGCTAGTTGTGTGCGTTTTTCCGAGCAAATGGTTGTGGGTGTTAAGTTTATTTCCATGCAACATGGGTGTGTGTGTGTGTGTGTGTGTGAGTTTTAGCGTGTCACACAAGCTTGGATGTCTCGGGTTGCTGCTGCCGGAGAAAAATCAAGGAAAAACCAACATGGCCGCTAGCCATGGTGGCGGCCACCTCAAGACCGCCATGGAGGGTGTGTATGTTGATATGTGTGTTTAATAGTGTTTGTGTGTGTGTATTGGAATATCGCGTTGTAATGTGTAACCATTGGAATAGTAAAGAGAATCCGTTACCACCACCGTTAGGTGGTGATTGCGCCTCCTGCCGCCACCAGCCGCCGTGTCGAGTGGCGGTGTGCTTTGATTGCATTTGGACCCCGTTTGGGGGATGTTTGGACAATGTGGGACCAATGAAACTCTAATGGGCCCAAAGAAACCCTAGTGGGCCTAATGAGGCCCTAATAGGCCCAATAAGGCCCAATATGACCTAAAAGCCCAACCAATGGACTAATGGGCTAATATCAGTTTGGAAAACCCTAATGGCACAAGACCCTAGTTTTGAGTATTTATCGGGACACGCACAAGATTATTTAATAAATTGAAATATTAAATAATAATCATTGACAAAAAATTAACCTAAAAGCAATATTGGACTTAATGGATTAAGTCCTTAATGGGTTAAGTAGGAACACTTAACGCTAATCATCATTTCATGTGAAAGCCCTAATCTCACTTGGGCCTTGAATTGAGCCTTCCTTCTGAGCTTTAGCAATTGGACTATTGATGGGCCATAATTGGGCCTTCATGATTATGTGATATTGGATCATGGGAAGCAGATTGGAATAATGAGATTGGCCTTAAAGAAAGACCATGTAGAGGTCTGGGCCTAATTTGGAAAATTGGGTCATGTGTTGGGCTTTAGCCCATTACTTGACTATTGGGTTTTGTAGTGTGAGTTCGACTTTGGGCTTGAAACCCAATTATTAATTGGGTGTTATTTGATGTTGGCAGTTTAGGAATCTGTCAACCAGTAGTTGGAGTTTCATCCGCGGGACTTCAACAGTACCAAGTGACTTATCCTCACTACATCAATAGGGTCTAAGGCACCAAGGTCGGCCCTTATGGATTGTATCTGGTTATGGTATGATATGCTTATTGATTACATCCTGGTTATAGTATGTTGTTATGATCTGTATGATATGTGCTTTTTGTTGATTGATTATGTGTTATGAGTATGTCGACATATGTATGTGTATGTTTGGGTTGAGGTGGTCCTGCTTTATGCTGAAGGCCAACTTACCCAGGGCGGTCCAGATAGGTTGAAGGCCTGCGAGGCGGTCCATTCAGGCTGAAGGCTCATTATGCATAATGTTTAATAGGATTAGTGACCTGTTAGTTCTGCCTCCTGGTAGATATGATGACACTATGCTTGTTGATCTGTTAGATCTGCATCCTGGTAGTTAAGATGAGATTATGTTTTTGCTTAGTGACCTGGTTAGGTCGGTGTTCTGGTTATAGGATGTTGTTGTGCTATATGATCTATTAGATCGGTTTAATTGTTATATATGTATTCTAGCATATGATATTTATGTTCACATGTTTGTTTGATTGGGGGTTAGGTTGAGGCGGTCCTGCTTTATGCTGTAGGCCAACATACCCGACGAGCGGTTCGGATAGACTATAGGCCCTACGAGGCGGTCCAGTCATACCGAAGGCTCGAAAGCGGTCCAGATAGGTTATAGGCCCTGCGAGGCAGTCCAGTCATATTGAAGGCTCATGAATCATGATGCATGCAGTTTTGTATTGGTTATATGATATGGTTATGTTTGTATGGTGTTGGTATTTTGGGGTAACTCACTAAGCTCCCGGGCTTACAATTTCAACTTATTATTTCAGGTACATCAGATGATCGCAGGAAGGCAAAGATGTGATCGTACAACTCCTCATATTTTATGGTTTTATGAATTGATTATGGGGATACTATGATGTCTAAATTATTTTGAAAACAAACTATAATAACTTGATGGTTTTAAAATGTATTAAAAAGTTTTAAATTGGCTTGAATTTAATGGGTGTTACAATGTCACATTCTCATTCAATTTATCAAATGTCATTTTATGGTTATTTTGAATTAATTTCTTTTCCACATGTCGTTTTATGGGTTATTCTATTTTAATAAATTCCACTTAATACTTTAATATAATAATTATAATAAATCTACTCTAATAAATGAAGGTTTTTTCTTGTCATATGTCACATTCTCATTCAATTTGCCAAATATCATTTTATAGTTATTTGAATTAATTTCTTTTCCACATATCATTTTATGGTTTATTCTATTTTAATAAATTTCACATAATACTTTAATATAATAATTAGAATAGATGTATTAATAAATGAATATCAATTTTATAAATAGATTTACCTTCTTATTTAAAAATTTCAAAATTAAAGCTCATTAGTTTATTTTGTTTATTTATTTAAATTTAAAAGATAAAAAAATCAATTTTAATAATTCATTATTTTTCTTATTTTCTAATAAATCCAAAATTCTTAAATATTTAAACTTTTATATTTAATCATTTTTAATTAACTCATGTAATGCATGGATCTTATACCTAATATTATTATAATTATATAATACAAGAAATAAACACATAATTTACATTGCATTGATAATATTCATAAATAAACTCATTCAATTAGAATAGATTAGGATAATGAGATAATGTTTCAAAAACGATTTGCATGGTATTTTTACTATTAAAATTTTGATCCCGTTATGTTTTTTAACCCAGTTTTATAGAACCTAACCGATGTTAGAACCGATACCGATTTTTCTAAAAGTGAATAATCAATAGCCAAGTGTTATTACTAAATTCGGTCCGGTTCCGACGGCTGTAAATTTCATCCTCACTTTTTTTTTTATCAACTTTTGGAAAAGCTTTAAAGAGTTGAAAGTTTTATTTTAGTTTAATTATTTAGAAACAATTGTCTAATGGAGTTGATATTTGATTTTATTTGACTACTTGTTTTAACTTGTTTGCTATCCGTTTTAACCAGTAAAACAACAAACTGAATAAAAAGAAACTAATCAAACCGAATCTTATTTGGTTTTGGTTTCTGTTAATCTAAAATTGTTAAAAATCCGATTAACTCCAACCGATTAATATCCCTATCAACACTAAGTGTCGTGTTTTAACTTGTTTGCTATCCGCTTTAACGAGTAAAACAACAAACTGAATAAAAAGAAACTAATCAAACCGAATCTTATTTGGTTTTGGTTACTATTAATCTAAAATTGTTAAAAACCCGATTAACTCCAACCGATTAATATCCCTATCAACACTAAGTGTCGTGTTATAAATATACATGTTTTGAACATTGTTACAAGAAAACACCAATTTACACAAATACACACTTGTAAGACACTAATTTGTTTATACGTCTTACATGTCTTATACGTCGACACCAATTTGTTTCGAGTAGACAACACAAATCTCATATTATATTCGTATGTGTACCAAATTACAGGACCTACTTACACAGAGAACTAGTCGAATATCCTATGCTTTCATTTGTCTTACTTTTCATAATTTAGGGAAAAGGAGGGACTAGTCCTTATATCGCAACTCCTAACAAAAACCAAGCAGTCAAGCCTTCAAAACAAGAAAAGTAGATCAATGGGTGCTTGTAGCCCACCAATTTCCCATCTTCTTCCCAACCCTAACAAAACCCTAATCACTGTCAACAAAAGGAAGCCCTTGTTCATCATCGTTTCCTCATCTTCGAAGCCCCAATTAACAATACAAAGGAGACAATTACTGTTGCTTTCTATTCCAATTTCAATCACAACGATTCAGCTGAGTTGCTGTTCGGGTTCAGCTGTTGCAGCGTCTATTTTCGATCCGGTTACGGATGCCGAGAGAGCTGCGAGCTCGGAGGTATCCCGGAGAGTGGCGGAAGCGGTGGAGCTTCTTGAGAAAGGGAGGGAATTTCAGGCCCAGGGTGATTATGTCCAAGCTCTCAAATACTTTACACAGGTATATAATAATTCTTTCACTTTAGTAAAAATAAAATCAAGAGGCATTTATAAATGCAAAAAATTGAAATTACAATGTTATAATTGGGTATAATTCACAGAAGAAGTATAATGCAAAAAACTGAAAGTATAATTCAGTTCTAGAATGAAATGAAAGTAGGATGCTATAATATACAAGTAAATAAATAAGTGAACTTTATTTCTTTCAGAGAACCAAATTAGCAAGTGTTTAATTTTTTTTGGAAAATAGTGAGTAACTTCAATGGTAATTGTTGAGATATGTCATATGTGTGATGTCACATGTTGTAATTTGAAGCTATAGGTGTTGGTCTACAAGATTTGATATTCTAGTAAGGGTATTTTTGGTATTTGACAAATAGTTGAAGAATTACATTAAACATTTGTCAAAGTCAAACTTGTAATTTAAATGGAATTGGATTTTAGAAGGGTTGTTTAGGAATGTACCAAATAATCAAACCATTTTCAATAAATTATGTGTCAAGCTCAAGCCAAATGTTGTAATTTCTTTGACTATATAGAGTGCTTTGATGCTGTTTTATGTCGATAATGTCCATTTCGTTTTTCTTAAATTGAAGTGTATTGTTGTTATTTTAATAGTAATGAGACATTTTCATTTAACAAAATATGAGATTAGATTTCTTTGTATTATTGTAAACAACAATTAAACTTAATACACTTGTGGTATTTAAACTTACAACCTATAGGTTGTAGAGCTTTACTTGATGCCATTAGGTCATAGGCCTTTTGGTTTCTTTATATCATTTCTTTGAAGGGTATTTTAGGGATTTTCTTAGTAAGCAAACTTTCCCGTAACCTATAATCTCGTTTTACTATTCAAAAGACTATTTCACAAACATTTTTTTAAAGAAGAAACACTCATATAGTCATATAAAGATATCTGGATTAAGGCTAATTCTTTTCTTTTCTCATTAAGTGATATGTATGGATAAATGATGTGAGAAAAAGCTGAATGAAGACTTTTTCTTTTTTGTATCGAATGAACTGTCTGAATGAGAGTAACTGACCCTTTTACCACATATGTCTAGAATTGATACTAAGAATTCATTTATGAAGGGTATTTTAGACATTTAACAAAACCACATGTTTGAGACATTTTTAATTTCCTAATTTTCAGGTTGTAAGAGAATACAAAGACTTTGCTCTTTCAGAGTATGCAAGAGTTGGTAGAGCCTTAGCCTTATATGAAGTTGGGGACAAAAACGAAGCAATTGCAGAAATGGAGGATGTTTCCATTTCTTTAAAAGGAAGTCCAGGTAATAAATCAAAATCCAAATTATCACTGTGTGTGTGTATTAGTGTGTGTATTCATATTCCGTATTTATGTTTTTTGATTACAGAAGTACATGCGGCTCTAGCAGCAGCATTATACTCTGATAAGCATGCACCTGTGCTTGCTGAAAACCAGTTCACAATAGCAACTCTTCTTGATCCAAAATATACGGATCTTGGATATGTAAAAGATACAAAGCATTGGCCTCCAAGTTTGGTTCAATCTTTACAAGATTTTATTACATTATCTTAAGGTGATACATACACTACAATATAATATATTATAGTATTACATTCGATACAAGAACATGAAGCATACAAAAATATACGTGTATATGTCCTTGTTTTGTGCAATTTACTTTTTCATATATTAGAGCTAGGAATGAACATGGTTGAATAGGTTGTAGTGTGTTCGACATACATTGGACTGAGACTGATCTCAATGGGATAAAAATGGCAATGTTTTTGTTACACCCAAAAAAGTGGGACCCTGATGGGCTTTCGATAGCTCATATGTACAAAAGACGTTAATGCCCTCGTCATCCTCATCGTTATTATTAAGCCATTTAGCCCTAGAAAGTTTGTCTGGTTGTGTTTGATTAACAAATGCAGCTTAGACAAATTTTGTAGGGCTATTATTAATGAGGATGTGGAGGGCATTAAAGTCTTTTGCACAGATGAGAAATCGAGAGCGAGTAAAAAATTTCAATTTTTGTCCATTGACATCGGTTCCAGTTTCAGTCTCGTTCATTAAATTTCAATCACTTTTTATTTGCAAAGTTCGAATTCTATAACATGAAAAGAAAGTAAAGAAGTGCATTTTTAACCTTGACATTCTAGTATGTGTCTATAACTGAAGGAAATATCTGTTGTTATTATTCATCTATTTTTTAAAAATCCTGTGATTAGGTAATCTGAAATGTGGTTAGATCTCTGTTAGTAGATCATAGTAAACCTTTGGCTTTTTATATTCTGCCTTGCACAATGCCTGCAAAGACCATTTTAAATTAAGTTTTTTAAGTATTAAATACACAATTATGATATAATTAATATCTCTACAGAGAATGCCAACAAACCTCCATTGCATAGGCTATCTGTATCAACATATCTTCAGACCAATGTTTTCCAATAAATTGAATGCCAATGGGCAATCCAAGTTTGTCATATCCAATCTATCATAAACTTTTAAAAGTCAGATATATGCAAAAAAAAAAAAAAAATAGCAATGTACTTTTATTTATTTGTTTATTATAGCATTCTATTTCTAATAAAGTGGGAAAAGTGAAAGTATGTTGTTATATTTTGTATTAAAAAAATGAAAGTATGTTGCTAATTCTTGTATAGCATACCGGCACAGTGACAGCTGGAAGTCCTAGAAAGTTTCCAGCTATAGAATATCGAATGAGTGAAGCTGAGAGAAAGAGTGAATTATGTTAAAATTAAATACAAATATGAAAAATCAAAAAAATAGTAATAATAATAATTAAAAATACCTCCATTAACATAGTCGAGTTCACCGGTTTTCTTAACATCATCCTTTATTTCATATGCTGTTATGCTATCAAGAACAAGAAAGAAATAATTTTCAAAGGTTACATATACAATTATTATATTATACAAACAGAACAGAAATTGTACTGTATTTAACATTATTGGATTGGGATCAAAAGACGTAAATGCCCTTCTAATCCTTATCATCGAAAACAACCCAAAAAAAATTCCATGTATTTTTTTTTTTTTTCGGTACATGGATTCAAGGAAAGAGATTATACCCGACTGTAGGTGTAACGATGACATCAGCCATACCAAATATCTTTTCATGAATCTTCATTTGACGATTCCTGCATTAAAAAGTATCAAAGAAAACTTTTTTATTTAATTTTAATTTTCTAGAAATACGTGATAGGAATATATATGGGAAAGTGCTAGAAATACAAATTTGCTTTCATTTAATGAAAAAAAATGGGATCATTGAAAGGTTACTCCATAAAAATAGTATACCTTATGCGTTGTGCTTGTAAGTAATCCCTACTACTGAAAGCTCCGTATACAGAAAGTGCTACTCTTACATCGGATCCAGATTCTGACTTATCACTGATTCAAATTCCATTCATAATTTCAGCATTTGGTACATTTTGTATTTAGATATATAGATAATTTAATTCTATGTGTATTATAATTTTTAAGTACGTACAATTTTTCCAAATAATGAGCAAAAGAAGCTGAACATTCTGAACCTATAGTTACATAATGTGCCAAACGCATTGCCTCTATATCTGGTATGGTCACTTCCACAGTCTTAAACAAAAGAAAAAGAAGAGATATAGTCAACTACTATAATAGAAAGGGCTAAATGCAAGAAATAACAATGTACCTGATTATAACATCATCAACTTTTCTTATTCTAGCTGTGAAACTTGCTTTGTATTTAAATTCCATTGCTATAATTCGATATATATGTTTTTCAAAATACAATTTTGTAATAGGAATAAATAAAATAAGCACATCAGTTACACTACATTGCTATTTCTTGCATTTAACCCTAATATAAATAACATGTTTTGTATTTAAATGATGTTGCTATAATTCAGTATAAATAAACTGTTGTGTATTCCTATTTCTTGTACATGTTTAGCGAATAATTGATTTAAATACCTGCCATCCGTAGCATTTATAGAGATTATCCAGAGCAGTTAAACAGCATATTCTGATGTCATCACTGCAATCATTAAACCACTGGCATATAAAAAGCAGAAACACCGATGTTAAAAGCACAATTTATACAAAAGAATAATGTTAAAAAAAAAAAAAAAATTAATGGTGTATGAGTAAGAACCTCTTTAGATTTTGCAAGCTTGATACCAGACATTTGATTAGAAGGCTTTAGCAAGGGGATATATAGTTTAGGCTGCTGATTCTGAAAATGGAAAAGAAATATTCTTAATTTAATCTGTTAGGAAAAACTTTCTAGGGCTATTTTCGATAATGAAGATGTTGAGGGCGTTCATGTTTTTTTGCACAAGCAAAAGATCGAGAGCAAGAGAAAGTCATGGTCCCACCTTTTTTAGGTGGGATGTAAAATTATAATTTTGTCCGATTGACATCAGTTTCAGTACTAGTCCAATGCAGGCCAAACACAGTACAAAGTCTGTTTACAGTACCATAGTTGGTTGTTGTGTTTCAGCTCCTCCGCTCACCGCAGCATAACTGAAAACAGTGAGTTGTGTGTAAGTTGCTACAAAAAAAAAAGATCAAATTATATTATGCAGTGGTGTTAGGTGTTGTTTTTTTTACTTAATGAGGACATGGCTTAATTGGTAAGTTATTAAGTCCTAAAAATTTCCCTCATTTAATAAGTGTGTTTTCATATTTTCAAATATGTGTTAAACATGATTTATCTAGATATGAAGTACTGACACGATCAACGAATCCTCAACTGTGCCCGCTAGTATCCCAACCATTCCAACTGTCCAGTTCCAAGGAATAACCCTAGAAAAGAAAAGATTGTGATTATTAATTAATAAATTAAGAGAAAAAAAATCCTCCTAGGGTTTTACAAGATTTAGGCAAAAAGTTGGGTCTGTTCAGAAATAGCCATAAATTCGCGGGTATCATTTGCAAAATGGCAATATAGACTGCAAAATGGGCCTGATGGGCTCGTGAGTGGTCACCTGTATGTAAGGCGTTTCTTATTCATTTTCATTTTTTTTTTTGTAAAGCTCTCTCAATTTAGCACTTCATTCTAAAAATATCAAACTATCTGTTTGCTATGAAAATGTTCTTTTAAATATCCCACCATAAAAAAAGCTAAAAAACAACGTTTTTTCAACAAAAATCCTATGATTTTCGCATGTGTGAAATAATTTCGCACGTCAAACCTTCATAACTGCAAAATATGCGATTTTTTTAACTACTATTTTTTTTTTCTTTTTTTTGTATTTTTACAGGTCAAAACTATAATACATTTTTTTTTTTTGGGAAAATGATCTTTGAAGATTTATGTCAAAAAAGTTCAAAAAGAAAATGTTTTCTTTAGCATTTTTCTAGGTCCCGAATTTTGCAAGTCATATATGTGCAATTCTTTGAATTTTTTATTTTGTTTTTTTCATTTTCACAGGTCAACCCTGTGAAAAAAAAATATCAAATTTATTTTTCTTTAAAGCCATATAGTTTGGTGATTTCATGAGTAATTTTGCAATTAAGATCTGTGAAATTAGTGGTTATTTCAGAAAACCCTTAACCTTTGCCTAAATACTGGAAAAAGATTATGAAAATTAGGCAATTTTTTTCCTCATTAATTAGTTACTTAATTTGTTAATTAATCAAGTTTCTGATACAAGGTTCCTTAGATATGAAATACCAACCCAGAGTATGATATGCGACCAAAAGATGGTTTTAAACCAACAACACCACAGAGAGCAGCTGGCATTCTCACCGATCCTACACAAGAAAAACAAATCATCTTTTGTATGATACATATCATATGTATCAGACTTATCAGTATTGATGTGTCTGATCTGCAAACAGATCAGACACACAGTGTATCCGTACAATGTTTGTACTGATACAATATCTATCACACACAAATACATTATTTTATTTACCTCCCCCATCAACACCAAGGGCTACAGGGCATAGCCCTGCACAAACAACAGCAGCAGATCCACTAGATGAACCACCAGAGATTCTGTTCGGATCATATGGATTCCGGGTTGTCCTGCATTATTAAGAACGAAATTAAAAAAAAAAAAAAATGATGAGTTTATAATTTTTATTTTTACAAGTTTTAGGAAATTGTTTTTTTTAATTGTACCCATAATGAGGGTTGATTCCACTGGTTCCTGCCCCAAGCTCATGCATATTTGTTTTTCCCACAAGAATGGCACCACATGATCTGAGTCGCTTAACACAACAAGCATCTTCTTTGCAAGGTCTTACCTTATGCAACCACTTTGAACCCCCTGTAATCAGTAATAATAAAAATAGCATAAATATTCACATAAAAGGAGAAGATATTTTTATCATCAAAAAAGGCATTTCCGTCTTTTGCACAGAGGAGAGATCAACGAGTCCTTATTTGCATCTTTTGCACAAAACGATTCCACATATTTCTTTTTTTGGAAGATGATAAGACTGGACAATCTTTCTAGGGTTATATTCGACGATGGGGACAAGGAGGGCGTTTATGTCTTTACACATATGTCCCACCTTTTTGGGCGGTCTTGTCCTCATCCTAAATAATCTTTCTAGGAGTATTTTCAATTACGAGGATGACAAGGGAAAGTATGTTTTATTGGTTAAAATCCAATGCATGTCAAACACAGTACAAATTTACCTGTTGTTGGATATGGCATACAATCTATTTCATCTTTAATAGCAATTGGGACTCCATCTAGTATTGAAATCGGTTCACCTATATACATCAACAATAAACTTGAATTAGCAACAAACTTTTCATTTACTCGTATTTATGATACGTTTTTTTTATATAGATTCGTAAAATAAATTGTAATTTTTGTTCCATTGACATCAGTAACCAACATAACATGTTTACTCATCTCCTCTTATATGTAACAAACAATGCCTAAAGATTTAACATTTAGCAATCTAACAATTAATTACCTCTCTCATACCGAAGAGTTGACTCGGTAGCTTGCTTTAGAATATCACGAGATTCATAATTAATGAAAAATGACATATCCGTCCCTGGAGCGGAAGATTGCATGACTGCAGATACCAACCGCTCTGCAACCTAAAAACAAATAAATAATGTAACAAGTTAAAAAACGGACCCGGTCAAATGTTGGTCAACTTTAGTTATAAGAATTTCCATAATAATACCATGAGAGGGGTTATTTTTTGCGATTTATATGCTCTTGAATAATCCATTATTGTCCAACGATGAAAACTTTCATCCAAATTTTTGTCTAAAAACTGTAAACATTCCTTGGCTTGTTGAACTTGTTCTGCTGGAGTCAAACCTGAGTCTATGCATTTTGATTCTTCACGTTGTTTAACATCTGCATTAAGAAAAAAAAAAGTTATTATAACTGTGAGATTGTTTTTAAAAGTATATGAAAATGAAAGTAGGATGTTATAATAAAGAAATGAATGGAAGATTTGAATTTATAAAATCGTAAGGTTAGATGATGGTATGAAATATGAAACTGACCTTCATAAGGCTGCAAAGGAACATATAAAGGTGATTCATCCAATACTGCAAATGAAACAAGCTGCAGAAAAACGAAAGTGTGACTTTAAATGAACATGGGTCACATTAACTATAAATTATAAATCATTTCGATTATTTTGTTACCATAAAATATTAAAAGAATGGTAGATATTGATTTGTGTATTTACTTTAAGTATTGTTTGTTGATGATATAAAATTATTTGTTGCTTTAAGTTTGTTCCATGGATCGTTCCTTGATAAGTCTTGGCTGTTACTCTTGGAACAAAAAGATTATATCAATATTTGAAAAAAAAAAAAATGACGATCTAAAGGTGGAAAACATGATTTAAACATGAGAACAAACTAAATTTAGTCTAATTTTGTAATCATTTGCTACAAATTAGCCAAAAAAAAAAAAAAAAAAATTAACACGTTACCAAAATAGCCACTGAATTTGCAGTGGTTGTTATTGGGCTGTGATCTCATGAGCCCATAGTAAGTATTGAAGGTTGTAAATAAAGTTATTATTATTTTTATATTTTCATTGAGTCAAGCAAAAATTATTCTACCCAAATAGTGCTTATGTTGCGATTCTTCTAGCTCATATGGGATTTCATCTAACATTAAATAAGAATGTAAAAAAAATATTTGCAAATAATCCTTGATTGAAAACTCCAAGATTTGAACTCTCGACCTCCCTTATGGGGATCCCTAATCTTATCCGGTGAGTCATCAAGGTGATTAGAAGATTATGCTAAATTGTCTTTTTCTCTTTTAATAATGATGATAATATCAAGTCTTAGATGTTACTTGCAACAAGAATTATGGGAGACAAGATTTTAAGTAATTTGATTCTTGTTATTATCAAAGGTGGTGACATTGGTCTTTCCAATACGAAAATCACATTTTAATGTCTTTCACTTATCTTTTTCATATTGAAATGTTTTTATAAACTGAAGTTTCCATAAATAGAAAGATCGAACATAAAATCAGTAGAAAAACAGACCAAAAATATGACTTTGATACCACCAAATTAAGGAATTATGATGTTACGAGATTTGTGTGTAAATGCTGTGGACCCACTCTTACGTAGCAATAAGATGCACCAACATCAGTTTGTTACACTCTTCTTCACTCTATTTATCATTTTTTTTATATATTACTTCACTTTATTTTTGAAAAGGTTAATTGCAAAAGCTACAACATATTTACATCAATTTTTAAGGGATTCATATAATATATTTCTTTTAACTATTCAACAAAATTAACAAAATATCATTTTTTTTATCATTCTATTTAACAATATAGATCAAATAAACCTACCATATATATTAAAACATTATGATAACAATGTAAAAGGTCTTGAGCTTTTTCTTTGAACAATATTTTAGGTTTATACTTTTATTTATGATCATTTCCATCCACTTACACTAAAATAAGTGGGTGTTTGGGATAGCTTTTAAAAAAAACTTATTAGGTTTTTAGCTTTTTAAAAATATAATAAACTAAAAAAGTGTTTGTCTATTTAAAAATCGTTTTTTAAAACAGTTTTTTGAATAGAAAAAAGTAAAGTTTTCAAAAAAACAGTTTTTCGCATCCAAACATTTTTTAAAACCAACTTTTCCTAAAAATAATAAGTTAATAAACATTTTTCTTAAAAATCACTTTCAACATAAAAAAGTTAATCCAAACATATCTAAATACTAAATACTTAATGATGATTTTAAAAAGATATATTGAAAACTAAAAATATGTCAAATCGCTTATTAACTTTGACAGTCAAACCACTCTTATTTAATTATGAAAAAAAAAGATTTTTCTTAAATCAAACATTCTATTTTACAAAAAGGCTAAAAGAAGAAAATATAAATGGTTAGATGTGAGAAACACTCATTGCGTAGTTTAATTAATGCCTGTTAAGTGTTAACACGTCATTTATTTTAAAATAATATAGAAGGTTCGATAAATAATCAGTTCTTAAAATTATATATCTAAAAATATTTTTTCATAACTAAAAACTGAAATTATTTATAAATCAGAACAAATAAAAACTATTTATTACATTCAATTTATATATCAATAACAGAAAATATCAAATTGTCAATATTTTAATTTCGCTCCCAATTTTTTTTTTCTTAGGTCCATCCGACCATTGTATATTACTAGGCGGCCTACTTTAAAGAAATGCCAACTTTTATTCATAGATTTCATATCAATTAATCAAATATTTACGCTAGAAACTGGGTGGAAATTCTCGTAGATATCTATAATTACTAGACACGATTATTAATTACAAAACAAAAAAAAATAAAAAATCGAGTAACAATTCCATTGATCGAAGTCGATAATCACGGTTTCAAGGAGATCGAGACGAATTTGTGAATCTATAAGAAAAAAAAAATCAAAAATTAAAACATGAAATCATACCTTCTGAATTCGATTGTTCTTCTTCAGGAAATACAGCAATACATCGCCGATGATCTTCATCTCCAGAAACCAAACGAATATCCTCGCAACAGTTCCAGCCATTCGAGGAGCTACAATCAACGTAAAGTTAAGCTTATCAATTTATACATACGCATTAATGTGTAATTTTACACACGAATTATGTGTTTAATTATACGTGATGAAATCTGTATCTGAGTATCTAGAGAGAGAGTAGAGAGAGAAATAATAGAGAGATGAACTAAGGTGACCTTTGACGTCGGCATAGAGGTAGACTTCATCGCTGTGAGGGCTGAGATCGATTTCATTGACAGGTTTGTAAACGACGCCGTTATCCTTCAGAAACCCCATTTTCGTTGCTGGATTTCGATAGAGATTGTTGAGAAGAAGAAGACTTTGTAACTTGAGGCTTCAAATAAATTGTGTATTTATAGTATCGGTGAGTGTGTTTTTTGTAATTTTGTGCATGCACATGTCAAATAATATTACGTTTTCTTATTTATTAAATAAGTATTTATACAATCATATATTATATGTTAGTACTTAGTATAGTATATTGGTTGATTCAATGATATTACCTATATATTATATGGGTTAATGGGTTAATTTTAAAAAAATTAAAGATAAATATATAAATATTTAAGAACTTAGGATTTATAAAAAAAAAAAATAATGAATTATTAAAATTGAATTTTTTTTATCTTTCAAATTTAAATAAATAAACAAAATAAACTAATGAAATTTAATTTGAGAATTTTAAAATAAAAAGGTAAATCCATTAATAAAATTGATATTCATTTATTACTACATTTATTGTAATTATTATATTTAAGTATTATATAGAATTTTTTAAAATAAAAAACCTCATAAATTGACATATAGAAAAAAAAAATTAATTCAAAATAGCCAGAAAATGACATTTGACAAATTGAATGAGAGTGGAACATGTGATAAAAAAATCTTTAATAGATATTTTTTAAGTTGTTACATAGTTGTCGTTAATGCATATATAAATAATAAATTGATAAATGACCAACTTTTTTGTATAATAAATGGAAAAGAAATCCTTAAAAAAATTCTTGTAATTAAGCCGATGATTTTTGCAAGTGTGTTTGCAATTATGTCCCAAAACCAACAATAATGATTTTTTTTACTTCTTTAAACCTTTAATTTTTGGATTTTGACCTTGATAAAACGATCACCAACCAAATATGTATGTATTTTCACAAATATGATCAAAGTTTAGGCGTTTAGACTAACTATTACCTAATATTTTTTATTGGACTAATTAAATGCATAATTTGTATGTGACTAACTTAAAATTTTATTATATTTATGAAAAAACACTTGCAGTTGGTGACCGGTTACCGATATAAAACTCAAAAATGACCGATTTATCGAGGTAAAAAACCCAAAATTGTAATCAGTTATTGGTTTTTCAGACTTAGTTGTAAATAGTTGTTGGTTTTTAGGATTTTATTGTAAACATTTGTTAGTTTTTTGGGCATAATTGCAAGAAAAAAATATATGAGGACTTAATCGATTACGAGGTCAAAATGCAAGAACTTTTTTAAAGTTTTCACAATAATAAAATTTCAAGATATAAAACATTATTCTAAATAGTTAAAAATATATTTAGATATATTTTAATGATGTCTTTTGATCCTAAGGGAGGACCGAGTCGATGCCCGGGTTGGGAATGGGATGAAGCGGTACTAACACGGGTTGTGAATCCTTGATCAGCGGTTCCAACAGGATACAATCTTTAATTGATTGCAGTGCGTTTATGAACTCGTCTCTCTTTTTTCTTCTTACATTGAATCGAAGGATGGATCATCTTGGAGGAAAAACCTAACCAAATTGGAGGATAAGCCACTACTATTGACGTCGGGGACTCAAATTTTGTAATGCCCTAGACTTTCTAAGGTTATGCACTTGGGATGAATCTATTAGGCTCAAATATTATTTTGTTTTGGTCTATTAAAATATTATAATACATTAAAAAAAGATAATAAATGTTAATAAAAAATAAAAAATGTGAAAACACAAGAACATGTTGTGGGTTTCTTTATTTTATCATTATTATTATTTTGTTTTATAAGTTTATAAAGATAAAATGAATACACAATTCATGCATTTGTTTTAAATTAGCAAAACTTTATTTTTAAAGAAAAAAAATATTATGTTTTATTTTATTTTATATTGTCTAATTTAATTAAATAAAAAATAATGATGTGGTAAATGGGTTAAGTGAGTTGAGAAATATAGAGTTTTCATGTGTTGTGGGTTGAAAAATATGAAAGAGAGAGGAAAGAGAAAATGTTGATATAATAGTGGGTTGAGTGGGATGAGGGAGAAGGACTCCATCCACCCTAAGGAGTTGGTAACGAGATAACAAAAATACGAGGTATCGAGTGTGACGGGTTGTGGAAGAAGGATGTACTAGCGAAACCAAGACACCAGTAAAAGGCAAGCAATGGTGCATTAACCTATTACACTCGATTGGTGAGTGAAGTTACTACAACGAAAGAAGAATCACAATGATAAATCGATGAGAGTATCAGGTATCGAGTGTGATGGTAGTGTGAAATACATGAAGGTATTTCTTGAGCGTGAAAGAAGAAAAACAATATGAAGCCCATCTCGAATCATAAAAATAATGAAAACTAAAAAGTGACGATGATGAATCCATGAGAGTACCCTACCCTAGGGTACTAGACTACCGTGATAAACAGTTTAATGATAAGAACTTTGTAAGCTCTACTTACAAGTTCCGTGATTGGTTATGAAAAGTTAAGATTATTCAGAGAACATAACGAGGACGCCAGAAGGAATAAGACTTTAAGAGGTGATAACTTGATGACAGAGGAGCAACATCCAGAAGATGTTCTATGGTCGATTAAGGAGGAAGACAATTTCACATGATGGAATATCGAATAATGAAAATTGAACATCAAAGACCTTATAGTACTAACAAGTTGTGGACAAGAATAAACACTTTAAGTTTACTAAAAATGAATGTCAAGAAGATGCTGATGAGTAAAGGAAAATTTCAAAATTTTCATGAATGAGTCAGAAATACGAACTACTACCGTGTAAGAGTAATAGGGTGATTTGGACCTTAAAAGAAATTCCATTATAAAAGAGGAAGGAAGAGATCTAATGAACTAGTGGTCAAGATAGAAACTTGATTACCAGAAAATGTAGCCAAAGAAGTGTAGTTTCTGGATCTACTCTCTTCCTTTTGAGCCTTTTAACTCATTCTTCTTCTTCAAGTTTCAATAACACACAAGATTACTCACAAATGGCTTACACACTCACAAAATGCTCTAGGGCTTCGTGGATTAAGGTTTGGGACTTGGAGGCTGGGAATGAGGCCATAAGGTGGGGATTAAGTTTCTTAAACAGAGTGCAAAACCCCGAAATTACGGTTTCATTCTGACGGGCCTACTCGCCGAGTTAAGGAATCTCAACTCGTGGAGTAGGTGGCTTAAAACCCACGTCCAATCCCGCTTCCACTCGACGAGTCTGGAGCTCCCAACTCGTCGAGTAGCTCTACACAGATAAACAAAATACAATTAAATGCATACCAGGAATGAGGCGTTACACCTCTTCTTTCCTCTTCCATGACCAATGGCCAGGATTGGAGCACTTATCACATAAGGGACATGAGTTTTCTTTATTCCTGATTCAGCAGTTTGCAACAAGTTATGAAATTAATTCAATATGGTCTTTATGTTGTTCAAATAATATGTCAAAATGAACTAATCGTAATTGCCAGGTAGGGAGTTAAGGACCATATCAATAGACAACTCCTTATCGAAATTCACATTGAGTTTATCCAACCTCTCCACATATCTTTGCATGTTTTGCATATGAGCACATACAAATTCTCATTCCTTTAGCTTACACACCATAAGGGACTTGAAAACCTCATAACATTCTTATCTTGCCTTCTTGTGAAACTTTTCAGCAAGATCCATGCTAATTTTATATAGATAATAGTCCTCATAGCACTTTTGTAGCTCAGGTACCATAGTTGCAATCATGATGCAAGCGACCTTAGTGGCATCGTGAAGATGTTTGTTATGAGCAACAAGTTGTTTAGGAATGACTCATTAATCTCAGGATTAGGGTGTTCGAGAACATACTCTTTGCTCTCGTAGTGAAGAGTAATCTTCAAGTTGTGCATCCAGTCCATGTAGTTTGGACCAACGACCTTTTCCTTCGATAAAATCGACAAGAGAGTGAAGTTTGAGTTTTGAGTAAAGGTTTGAGTAGTATGAGCATCACCATTTCCAAACATCTATAATAAGAGAGATAGTTTTAGTTAGTTAATATAAATCCTTAATATTTTAACCCAAATTAATATTCAAGTCTAGGATCCAAAATACAATTCGAAATTAAGAAGAGGGATGTCGTAATCTAATTGTGAATTTATCAAGGTAGTTAAGACACATTTACCAATTTCAATCTAATATGAATATCTTAGATCGTTTGAGATTCATTGAATCTTATCAATATCAAGTTCAATATAAGATTATGCTCTTCAGTTTGTGATTGAGATGTCGAGGATCACAAACAACATGTGAATAACCATGCAAACCCGCTTAACAACCTCAATGTCATTCATCATCTCAATTTGACGTACAGGTAAACTACATATGCTCCATCAACAATAATAATTTTCGAGTTGTTCCATTATTTCAACTTCATAGTCCCAAATTAGTGTGTCGGTTCACTACACACGCTCCATTAATGACTTATAAAGAAATGATGTGTGTTTTCATAGATTAGCATACATTTCACATTTTTCCTAAATAACTAGAGTGGGGTTTTAAAAAAAGGTTCTAGTGCTTTATATCATTATACTTTTAATGATATTATGTCCTATCAAACCTGTTCAGCTAACGACCCTCCACCACCCAAATGAGCAGTGGGTGAAAAGGACACCAATTCAACAGTTATTTTATAGGTTGTTTTCTTATACCCTTCTTATAGTATGGCTTTGTGAATGAGGCGTATTAGAGATTCGACTGTATTTCTTATACATATAGTAATTAAACATTTTATATTTGTATAGGGTGTATTTTAAACTTTTTTAAAAAATGGTTATTTTATAGGTTGCTGATTGGATAGGTTGTTCTGGTGGTGCGTGACATGTTTCGTTTGCCGATGTGTCAGTGGAAGCTGCTTTGCGGAAGAGTGCGCGTCTCAGAAGGGTGTAGCTCATGTATTTTGGCAGAGTGTTAAGGAGGTTGTTGTCTAGGTTCTTACGACCCGTTGGATGTTGGTCATGAGTCTCCATCTTTATAGTTGGAGGGGGCACAACCCCCTAGCCCTATGAAAGATCCGCCTTGATGTGAACTGAGTTGCTGATAACTCTTGGACTATTATAAGTCCATGGGACTGCTGGTAGTCCCAAGGTTGTTGATAACCCGAGAGGTGTGTTGTCAATCCACAGAGCATGTCGTGAGCCCATATGGACTGCTCATATTTCCAAAGGTGTTGAAAACTCATAGTTGTTACATTGTGTGTTGTATGTGATATTCGAAACTGCTGATAGTTTCAGGATTGTTATATGTTATGATGTATGGAATATTTTGAAAACTTCACTAAGTTTTGTGCTATCAACTTTCTTGGTTTGGTTAGTACTTATTGATGTTGGTTGGTTTTTCATATTATAATTTTGACAATTCTAATTTGTATATAAAAATGGTATTAATGCAAATATAGAAAAAAATCAAGAGGACAAGATAATATTTTTAGGATCAAAATCATAATAGTTTTTATTTTATTTATTATTCTTATTTTCTTTTTGAGAGAGAGAGACTTTTCATCTCCGATTACGCGATAATTTCCACAAGCACAAATTCCACTTTTGATAGGCTACGGATGCAGGTGCGTATGAATACTGAAAGAGTAAAGAAGTTATATGGGAAAAGATTCCATGGTATAAAAGCTATTGAACATAGTAAAATAAAAAATTGAAAGATTTTGTTAAAATTGTTCGTTTGGAAATTTTCTATCTTTATATAGAGAGAAAAATTATATATTTTTTTTCCAGCAATTCCATAAAGTCTTTCGAGTTTTTTCATTCCTATTCTCCAAATAGAAGTATACTATGGATCGGAGTCGTGGGAACTCCTTGATCATTTCTACCGAGTTAGAATTCTTTTTATCCAGAGAAAAATAGACTTTGAGAGAGAGTCCCTGTGCACTCAGTATTAGTGAGCTCTATGAATAACCTTTTACTCACATCAACAAAAGGAAAGGGCATGGAGAAATCAGAGCTACCAAAGGCATCAAATTCCGAAGATGGGGTCGATTTCATCAGTAACATGCCGGATGCTATTCTTCTTTTGATTCTCTCCCGTCTTTTATCCACAGAAGAAGTAGTTCGGAGCAGCATATTGTCCAGACGATGGAAGTATTTGTGGACTGCAGTTCCCACTTTACACATACGTTACAGACGTGAATTAAAAAAAACCAAATTCATAGAGTTTGTGTATTGGGTTCTAGCAAACATAACCGTCAATTTGGATAGCTTTCGTCTATATTGTGGTGATTACTACTGTATGTCAACAGTCTGGCGATGGATTCATGTAGCAGTTCGGAAAAATGTCAAAGAACTTCACTTGGAGTTACACCCTAATAAGCTTACCGATGTATTCGAGATGCCCCATTCTCTGGCGACTTGTGGTTCATTGGAGGTATTAAAGTTGTATTTATCAGCTCGTCTTCTAAGGTTGCCTACTATTATGAGGTTTCCTGCACTTAGGGTTCTTGATTTGACCTATGTTGACTTGGAAGACAATGATTTGATTAATAATTTTCTTGAAAGCTGCCCGTTGCTTGAGGAGTTGAGTTTGATATGCTGCTTCATGAACGAACTTGCTCTTCTTCGTATTTCAAATCCGAATCTCAAAAAGCTGAGAATTGACAATAACGAAAATTTGATAATGTGCTGTGGAATTAAGATTTGTTGCCCAAAACTGGTGGATATGGATTTAACAGGTAATATAGCTTATCGCTTTTTCTTTGAATGTCTAGACTCCTTGAAGGTTGTTGTGATTCAGCCTAAATTGGAGGGGATTACCACATCTGTGTTGTTTCCTGGAATTTCTCGTGTGGAACATTTGTCTATCGACCTCTTCTTCTTCCTTGAGGTAGATGCTTGTTCTCTTTTTCCCCAATTTTTCATTTTCGGTTTATGTTACTTATTTACTTTTGTTTGAAATTATGATTGTGTTTTTATCAAATCTTTGTCATTATTGTAGTGCCTTTATGCTGCACGTGATCCGGTTTTACCTAATCTGAAGACTTTGGTGATTAAAACAACTATGGATGCCTTCACCATGGATAACTTCAACAAAGTTCTCAAATATTATCCCAAATTGGAGTCGCTCAAGTTGATCATTAAACAGGTATTCTCTTATCATTTTTTTTAAATGTATCGCTTTCCTTGATGCTTGTTGCATTTTGTGTAACACGAGCCCTAGAGTCTAGACACAATCTTAAAAGGATTTGAATTGGGGATCTTTACATTATCCTTTGAAGAAAAACAATTGGATTTTCATATCTAACATGAAAAAATTATGCTTTTGTATGATGATCTAGGATTTTGATGAAAGATACGAGTGGTTGGATGAAGCTGAAACAAGGGAAATCATGACTAGTGATGTGGAAAGGGTTGAGTTTTTCGAATTCAATGGAGAAAAACCGAAACTAGTTATAGACTGGTTTGAAGATATATTGGAAATGTTTTTCACTTGGGGTGATATTGGAGAAAGGTTCCCTCGTTATTTGTAATTGTCTAATTACTGTTTTGAAGAACTGATGGGGTAACTAGATTTCTTTGTCTCATGTGGATGTTTTTGGATTTGGATTTTGTTTCATTTTCTACTTTAACTAGAAAATGCTTGTTTGGTTTTACAATTTGTTATATAAAAACCTAGCAAGTGTAATTACAAACATTAGTATGTATAATTGTTACACTTGTGAGTATTAGAGAAGGAGTTGACTATTTGACTGGTCCTATGTTTGACTTCCTTAGCTAAGGGCATTCTTGTCTTTCCTAGCTAGGTATAAATAAGAGGTTAGTAGTTGGCGATTGATTTTGTTGACTTGAATCATGTAAACCTTAGAGTTTAGATCATTAAATTATTCAATTAGCAGTGTATAATTTCATTCTAAATCTCTAGTCTGTTACAATAATGTGACAGATATGTATGTGTGTAAGATACTATATATGTATGATAGAGGGATGAAGAGTTAACACAAACGCAGTCTCCATTGAAGATCATTTTGGATGTGGGACTCTTATTTGGAGGCATTACATACTTCGTGAATTTTTTGACTTTTTCTAAGCAAAAAATGATCTCATTTTGTATAGAAGTCAAAGTACGTTTTTTATTTTTATTTTATGAAAGAGCATTATAATGGAATTGAAAAGGGGATTGGGGAAATAAAATGGCTGTAAGTGTAAGGGTATGATTGGCGTTTTGTTATATTTCCAAACCTATTTTTAATTAAAGAGAACTCGTGAACCACTAATATCCTTATGAGGTTCCATTTGGCCTTTATCTCCAAATTCTTCAAATATGAAACATTCAAAGGTATATTTTACTTTTCAATGGTCCATGTGGGATTTAGTTTTTAGTTGATTGTACTTCCCGTGCATCCCTGTCGCATCATTTCTGAAAGAAAGATAAGAATGTTTTTCTTGTTATACATAAGTACTTTCCCCTTACAAACTCAAGTTGCCAATTTCCATCCCAAATATACACGTATATAGATCCTATTACTACCTATTCGGTTGCGCCTGTGAGAAAGTTTGATGTGAAATGGGCCAACAATCTGGTGGCTCTAATTACACTCGAGGGTATGCCCACGGTTCTTTCGTTTGGCTCACATGGAAAAGCTCTCGTATTGCACGAGCTCACATGATCCCACCATGGTTTACTCTAATCAATCATAAAACACTCCAATAAACTCTACCTTATTACTTATCATTTCCACTGCTTGTATCACTTTCTTGTAAAGTTCGGACGTCTTGGCAAGTGTGGTATCCATAAGACCCGACAGAGTGTAACGTGAGGGAGGCGAGGTACATGCCGGTTCAGACGGTGGGCAACCCGGGCGACTGCCCAGGACCATGTCTCCAGGGGGCCTAAATTTTCTGGGCTATGTAGTGTGTGTGTGTCTATATATATATATATATATATATATATATATATATATATATATATATATATATATATATATATATATATATATATATATATATATATATATATATTATTACCTAAATGATTTTTATGATCTAAAGTTGGTTCAAAATTCAAACTAGCTCAAAAGATAAACAATTTGGTTTGCTTGTTATTGCTAATTGTACATGTTTATAGTGAAGAGTAAATGATATTTTTTTTTTTTGAATCTTTATGATATTTGTCTTTTAAGGATATTTTTTCTTTTCGTCCCGGGCCCCATATACGTTTGGACCGGCGCTGGCGAGGTAAACTTTCCCGCTCATCGGAACACCACACCAGCACTGCGGGAACAGTGGTGCGTGGGTCCGTGTGCCGCACTCTCTCTCTCCAATTCCTATTGGTTGATTTTTTTTGCAACGGTGAGAAATCGAAAAAATGGATATATATATATATATATATATATATATATATATATATATATATATATATATATATATAAAATTTCTTTCCCAACTATAAATACCAACCCAACCCAACATTATTTTTAAACCATTTCTACATATTCTCTCTAAAAAACAAAATACTAAAACATAATGTCATCATCTTCATCATCCGATTCGACGGCTCAAGAGGAGACATAATTTTTCGGTTCCTTTATGGCAAAGACTGTTGCTTATTTTCAAAACTGACGAGGCCAAACTTTACGTCCACGAAATGAAACAAGAAAACCGTCGTATTGTGTAGAAATCGCGAAGCCGGGCACAATCATCTTGTAGAAGACTACTTTGCAGATGACATCATATACACTGAAAAGTTTTGATGACGGTTCCAGATGAGGAAGGAGTTATTCTTACATATTGTTGGCGATTTGGAAAACCATTTTCCATATTTCCAATGGAACATGGATGGTAGATGCAAAAAAGGTTTATCTCCAATTCAAAAATGCACAACCGCAATTCATCAATTAGCATACTACATGCGCGAAGACAAGTTGGACGAGTATTTAAGGATGTCCGAACGTACCGCACAGGAATGTGTGTACAAGTTCTCCAAAGCTATTACTTTGATGTACGGGAATGTCACAACGAGCAAAATTAGGATCGAGATTTTATTAATGTACAAACAATTTCCCTGTGTAACCATGTTGAAATAGATTATGATAGTTCAACAATGACAATGTTATATGAGTACATATGAGCATACACTAAGAATCGAGTCGTAATAACCTCTTATAAGCCCAAGTTTGATCTAATAGCTAAACAAGAACCAATTTTTGGGCCTTTGCTTAGAAGTTTCGGCCCAATTAACCCATGACCGAAAAACCTTTTCTTTGGGCCATATTGAAACCAAAAACCTCTTATTGAGCCATGTCAAACCCGAAAACTCATATCCACTCAAAAACCGAAAACCCTTGAGGATGAAGGGTGTTTTCGGCCACCCTAAAACCGAAAACCCATTTAGTTTGGAAAACAAAACCCAAAATTGACTTAGTGGTGCCACCTCAAAGCTTTATTACCTTTTACCCTCCAAACATCTAGACTATGCATGCCTTTATACTCCATACTCCCATGCAAGTTGGCATGTTCTCTTTATCCACTTTAACCATCGAGTTTCCATGCCATACACTCCAATGCATAACAAGTTTCCATACATAATACCTTAATAACCAACAAACCTCCACATATGACACCATATTGTCCACCAAACAATTAGAAAGAAAAACACCCCTCCATTTAAAGGGGTCGGCTGAGAGACACCCACACACACCAAAAATACATCCTCTTATTTTCTTTTCATATATTCTCTCAAATTTTAGCAAGGGCTTTCAAGGGGTATATTACTTCAAGAAAGTTCTAGTAAATTTGGTAAGCATTTCATGTATCTCTTGTATTTCTAAGCATCTTTATGTTAAAAACCCCATGTTTACACACATTTTCGTGTGTTAGATCTTTAGAACACTTGCATTTTCGAGAAGTTCTTCAAGCTTGTGCACAAGGCTAGGCTCGAAACCACTCATATTTTCCTTCCTACAACCCACGGAAATCATCAATATGTAATGCCCCATTCCTGGTACACAATTATGTATTTAATCATGTACTTATTTTTGAGCTACTCGAAGATTTGGTAGCCCTAACTCATCAAGTAGATGCCAGAAAGGACGCGGGGTTTAAAGAGTCTACTCGGCGAGTCCAAGCATGGACTCGACGAGTAGGTCTGCCAGGAGGAAACCCTATTTGCGGGGTTTTGCACCCTATTTAAGCCACTTAAACTCTATTTGGGCTTCCCTTACCAGCCTCCCTGCCCTCCAGAAACCCTAATCCGATTGAGAGCTTCACCCTTGAGATTTAGAGTGTGTTTTTGCGTTATTGAAGATAGCTGGAAGAGCTTGGAGCTAGCAAGCTTGTGGAAGAGGATCAAGATCTAGGAGTACATTCATCTTTGGCAGCTTTCTGAGGTAAATAGCTCTTAGCTTGATAACCCATAGCTTAGATCCCCTTTAATGTTGATTTGTGGGTATTTTTGACCCTTTTGAGTAGGATAAGTGCTTCTTTTAGGTTGTATGCTAAGCAATCCCTCTTTCCTGTGATATTTAGCCTCTAGAGTCATAAAATGAGTTTTGAACACGTTTTCATCGAAGCCATGGTCATGTTCATGGAAGTAGGTTGCTATAATATGAGTTTGGGTCCATATGAGGTGTGCAAAGACATCAAGTCTCCAACTTTGTAGAAATGGACCATGGAAACAACCTAGATATGTATTTTGGAACTGTAGAAGTGTGAAACGAGCTAACTAGGTTAGATCTGCAAGGGACTCGACGAGTTCATAAGGGAACTCGACGAGTCCGATGAAGAAACCTCAATGATGTTCATAGGACTCGGCGAGTTGATTAAGGAACTCGGCTGGTAGGAAGATCTTGTCCGTTTTCTGATTATGCTAGGACTCAGGGAGTCTGAGGATGACTCGATGAGTCAGTTCGACAAATCGCGATGACAAGTAGCTTGGGAACTCGACGAGTCATGGGGTGACTCAACGAGTCGACAACTGCACGCTCTTGGTCAATCAATCCACGATGACCCATATCGAATCCACTTTGCGTGCTGTCCGTGGCAACTTTGTGATGAAATTCATAGTAATATTTTCCCATTTGCACACGGTAATGTCTAACAGCTACAACTTGTTGTGAGGTCGTTGATGCTCGGCCTTGACTTTCCTGCAAGTCAAGCACTTTTCCACATACTAGGCGACATCTCCCTTCATGTATAGCCACCAATAGTTGATTCGGAGATCCTTATACATCTTTGTTGCTTCGGGATAAATACAGAATCTCGACTTGTGTGCCTCCTCTATCATAACCTAGTGCACACCACCCAAATACGAAACTCACACCCTCTGATGAAGGGTCAATAACCCCTGGTTATCATAATCGAAGGAAGCCACCTGACCTACTATAAGCTCATTCTTCCGGTGCTCTTTCATCACAGCCTCAACATGAGCCTCTTGGATCTTCTCTAAAAGTGAACTAATCACTGTCATCCTCAAACACATATCCCTGATCGGAGCCGCGACCGCCTTGCGGCTGAGAGCATCAGCCATCACGTTGGCTTTCCCCAGATTATAAAGGATCTCATAATCATAATCCTTCACCACGTCCAACCATCTACATTATCTCATGCTCAGATGTGGCTGATCCATAAAAATAACTCAGGTTCTTGTGATTTGTATAGATAGTACAGTGGAGCCCATAAAGGTAATGTCGCCCAATCTTGAAGGAAAACACTATAGCTCCCAACTCCAAATCATGCGTAGGATAATTCTCCTCATAAGGCTTCAGCTGCCTCGAAGCGTAAGTAATAACACGGCCCCACTACATCAAAACTGCTCCCAAACCTTTGATCGACACATCATAATATACC